AAAAAAGTAAGGGCTAATGTAACTGGTCCATCTTTCCCAGTAATCTGTCAGCTTGCACTGTGAGCTCAACTGACCACTGCATGCTTTTCTGCTCGGTTTGTCTGAGGCAGCCACTGTGGTGACTCCTGCATTCTTTCAACAAGCTCCTGATTCTAGCATTTCTCTGCTTTCTACATAGATACTCAGGCTCACCTTGTCCTTTCCCTGCCTTGGCCTTGACCAGCACCCTGATTCTTTTGCTGAGACACCAGTATTAGGACACAGCAGACCCAGGACATCATGACTCCCAGACCCAGGAACCATTGTGTAAATGTATCCACAACAGCCTCCCACTTAGAGACTGGGTCTCATATGACCTATGCCAGGCCTGAACTATGAGGACGACCTTGAATTTTTGACCTTCCTGCCTTTGCTTTCCTAGTGTTGGAATTACAGCCGTGTACCATGCCTGTTTATGTGATGCTGGGGTTGAAACCCAGGCCTTCGTGCATGCTAGGCCAGCGCACTACCAACTGAGCCACCTGCCCTCCTGTCCATGCCTAACAGCAGCATCTCCCACCCTGCCCAGCTCCGCTAGCTTACTGTTGTGGTCCTCCATACCCAAGCTCTTTTGAGTGTGGGTCACCATCAAGACGTGACGTGGTTCCCCGTGCTGTTGCTCAAGTACCCACCTTGCTGGTGCACTTCCGTTTATTCTAATTTCTTATTCCTTTTTTTGTTTGTTTACAGTGGATGGCTGTGTAGCCTCCTGCACCCTTTCCTTTGAAACACATGGCAGACTTTACTCATTTAGTGGGGTGTATGGGCTGGGACCCACCAGCTCAGAATTCTTTTTTTCTTTTTTCCAGACAGGGTTTCTCTATGTAGCCCTGGCTGTCCAGGAACTCACTCTGTAGACCAGGCTGGCCTCAAACTCAGAGATCTACCTGCCTCTGCCTCCCGAGTGCTGGGATAAAGGGCGTGCGCCACCATGCCTGGCTAGCTCGGAACACAGGCATCTCGTACTCCAGTGAGTGAGCTTGACAATTATGAGCAGTGCTGTGACAACACCAGTGTGGAGCGATAAACCAAGGCTCATGCGTCAAATGTGAAATGCTTTGTATGTGAACCATTGCTGCTGGCCTGCGCTGTGTGGCCAGGCTTAGTAAGAATGTGGAAACAAGCAGACCTTGGGGGTACTTGACTGTGGGTTTAACCAAGAAAGAGTCCTTCTGTGCAACAGAAAACGGGGCTCCCAGCCACTCACATCGACTGGAGCAAGGGCAGCCTGTGCCCAGGGGCCAGCATCAGCAGAGCCTGTGAAATACCAGGGTTGCTGCCTGAAACCAACAGGGTCTCTCTATGGAGCCCTGGCTGTCCTGGAATTCACTATGTAGACCAGGCTGGCCTCGAACTTAGAGATTCACCTGCCTCTGCCTCTTGAGTACTAAAGATGTGGGCCACCACACCTATACCCCACCCCCATCTCGTACCATCTTTCACCAGTCAGACAGGAGCCAGGCAAGCAGACTGGGCTAGCTCTTCTCCGACAGCTCTGGGAAGGCACAGATCCGAGGGTGCTTGAGCCTGGTGGTACTTGGCATTGGCATTTTGCTGCTGTCTCTGGATTCCTACACACAGCAAAAGCCCCCAGTCACCCACGTCAGCACAGAGGCCCCCGAATGTTTAAACAACCCACAGCTCGATACTGATTACTGCTCACACTCCAGGGTCACTGCTCTGCACCGGGGTCTCAAGCCAGCACTGGGAGATACGGAAACATAGAGTTCCTGTACCATGCTGCAAGAGTGGGAAAGGAACTGACCCCAGCCCAGGTTCTAGGCAGTGCTGGCATGCCCTGTGGAGGCGTACAGGCGGGTTACTGAAAGGAAAACCTAGTTTTAGAAACGTCTCGGGATATCTAGAAAACAATCTTTAGGAGAAAGACATCTGCTGCTACCCTAGAAAAATGAAGTTGAGTGGGTGAGTCCACCAAGCCTGGTGACCAGGGCTCAATCCTGGTGCAAGGAGAGAGATGACCCCTGTAAGTTGTCCTCTGACCCACACACTGGGACAGTGCTCCCCTAAATAAATAAATAAATGCCATTTAAAAAGCAGGAAAGTGTGCCGGAGACACAGTTCCAGCAGTAGAGTGCTTGCCTAGCGTGCAGGGAGCCCGGGTTCTACCCCCACACCACAGGAGCCGGGTGTAAGGGTGCACACCTGTGATCCCAGCACCACAGACCTGGAGGCGGAAGGATCAGAAGTTCAAGGTCATCCCTGGCTACATAGGGAGTTTGAGGCCAGCCTGGGCTACAGGAGACCGTGTCTCAAAACACATAAAACAAGAAGTCAAATATGTCAAAAGCCAAAGAGTTTCTCACTTCCTGCTTTGTATTCCAGTTTTGTTCAAAAAGAACACAGACAAAGGGAAGCAAGCCGGTGTGCATCTGTGAGCACGAAGGGCAGATGTTCTGCGGGCGCACAGTTTCATTGACAGGTTCTGGTCGGAAGACTCAGGTCTGTGACAGGAAGACTCAGTGTGGAGAGCTGTCCAGGGCTCTGTGGTGTGACGACCACACAGGGCAGGACATCTTAGCACATCGGTGTTGGACCCTGAGAGAATCCTGTGACATACACATGGAAGAATAAAACCACTGTCTGAAGGGAAACCAAGGACAACTGAGGAGACGTTTTGGGGTGTGCTGCAGGGCTGAGCCATGCTCTAAAGTCCCCTTGGGGACGCCCTCCACTGGGCAGCACAGGTGAGTCTCAGGTCTCCTGGCCCCATGGACAGAAGGCTCTGCTGCAGGCAGCTGGGGACGTGGTTCTGTAGCTCTCTTCTCAACATTCATCCTTGGCCTCTGGCTTCTCATCCATCATATCTCTAAAGCCCAGCTTTTCCAGTGGTTCCGGGGCCATCAGCTGCCTGGAGGAGAAAGATGCTGTCACGGGACCACGCTCTTATGATCATTCGCCTGCCCAGCCTCCCAGCACCCCCATTTTAAAACAGAAAACCAGACCCAGAGAACAATGTCCCTCCCACAGGGAGAGGAGCCAACCGGCCATGTGAGCCCCAAGGTCCCTTCCAGCCACAAGGTCAGCCCAAGTTCACAAGGGCAGGGGCTGAGGATGTGGGCGGGGCCAGACAGTGCCACAGGACCCCCCAGGTGTGAGCAGAGCCTGGGAGCTGAGGCTAGGTAAGTGTCCCCATAGTTGAGGAGGACCAGGGGTGGGAAGAGCAGGACTGGTCCGTGAGCTCCAGGCCAGCGAGGCTCTGTCTCCAAAAGTGGGATGGGTGGTCCTGACAAAACCCGAGGTTGACTTTTTCTTTTTTCTTTCTTTTGTTTTTGTTCTTGTTTTTTGTTTTGTTTTTTTGAGACAGGGTCTCTCTGTGAAGCAGTCCTGACTCTCCTGGAGCTCACTCTGCAGACTAGGCTGACCTCAAACTCACAGAGATATACCTGCCTCTGCCTCCTGTGTGCTGGGATTAAAAGCGTACGCCACTACCGCCCGGCTCCAAGGTTGACTATCACATGCACAAAATGCACACAAACACACACACACACACACACACACACACACACACACACACACACACACACACAGCCAAAGGAATCTTTCAATGTGCCTCTGCCTCCGAAGGGAACCCACCTAGAAAGAAGTCCTTCAGATATCGAAGGCAGGAGCCACTCCCATGAGCCCTAGCTCTGGCGCCTTCCTGAGGGCGCACCCATGCCTGCCTGTCCCGGCAGCACTCACTCCAAGCACCACGTGACCCACAGCCTCCTGTCATTTACCTCTCTGGAGTGGGGGCAGGAGGGCTGTAAGGCCAGCCCCTGAGGTTACCATGCCCATGAGGCCTAAGGAGGGATGTTGTAACTTAATTTTTATTTATTTTATTTTATCATTGTTTTTCGAGACAGGGTTTCTCTGTGTAGCTCTGGCTGTCCTGAAACTTGCTCTGTAGACCAAGCTGGCCTTAAACTCACAGAGATCTGCCTGCCTCTGCCTCCCTAGTGATGTGATTAAAGACATGCACCATCACTGCCCAGCATTTAATTTTATTTTTTAATTGCATTTATTTATGCATTTGTGTGTGTATGCGCTACATCAGCTTCAAGTGTATGTGTGATGATTTCATTACCAACTAGCCTAACAAAATAATGGACCAGTCAAGCACAGTGTCATACACCTGTCATCCTCACACTCAGGAGGCTGAGGCAGGAGGACTGCCAGAAGTTCCAGTCCAGGCCAGACCTTGCCTAGACAATTAAAAAAAAAACAAAAAAAAACAAACCCACCAACTAAACAACAAAACCCAAAAAACAAAACACACAAACAAACAAACGAAACCACCAACTAAACAACAACAAAAAATCTTCCCAATAACAGACAAAACCAGAAACATCTTTGCTTGCCTGCACTCACCTAGCTCAGGGCCCTGTAAGTCACAGAAGCGGGCGGGTCCTTCCTTCCAGGCTCTGAGGCACCTGTTCTACATGGTACTAAGTGCGGCACAGACACATGGGGACTGGAAGGCCTGGCAGCAGCTCTTCCCACTGACAAACAGGCAAGAAGTCCTTCTGCCGGTCCTGCCCAGAAGCCTTGTCCGTAGACCAGTCACTTCCCCAGGGGACCGCAAACCAGCCACACCCTCCGAGCAATCACAGGAGCCACTGTGATCTGGGCCAGGCGCTAAAGTCAAAACAAGTCCGCTCATTTTTGTTCTTTTTTGGCAGGGGGTGGGGGATGCTGTGGGTAGAACCCAGGGCCTCACACATTCTGAAATGCATTACCACTGAGTCATACCCCAGCCCCTCACTGGGGGATTCTAGGCAGGTGCTCTACCACTGAGCCACATCCCAGCCCCTCACTGGGGGATTCTAGGCAGGTGCTCTACCACTGAGCCACATCCCAGCCCCTCACTGGGGGATTCTAGGCAGTGATCTACCACTGAACTATATCCTCAGCCCTGTTTTTCTTATTATATCGAGATAGGACATTAATAAATTGCCCACAAAACTCAAGTCCAAGTGGATCAAAGACTTCAACATAAATCCAGTTACATTGAACTTGATAGAAGAGAAAGTAGGAAGTACTCTTGAACGCATTGGTACAGGAGATCACTTCCTAAATATAACACCAGTAGCACAGACACTGAGAACAACAATTAATAAATGGGACCTCTTGAAACTGAGAAGCTTTTGTAGGCAAAAGACATGGCCAATAAGAGAAAAAGATGGCCTACAGAATGGGAAAAGACCTTCACCAACCCCACATCTGACAGAGGACTGATCTCCAAAGTATATAAAGAACTCAAGAAACTAGACATCAAAATACTGAACAATCCAATTAAAAAATGGGCTACAGAGCTTAACAGAGAATTCTCAACAGAAGAATCTCAAATGGCTGAAAGACATTTAAGGAAATGCAAATCAAAACGACTCTGAGATACCACCTTACACCTGTCAGAATGGCTGTGATCAAAAACACTAATGACAGTCTATACTGGAGAGGATTCGGAGCAAAGGGAACACTCCTCCACTGTTGGTGGGAATGCAAACTTGTACAACCACTGTGGAAATCAGTATGGTGGTTTCTCAGAAAATTGGGAATCAATCAAGACCCAGCCATACCACTCTTGGGCATATACCCAAGGAATGCTCAATCATACCACAAAGATACATGCTCAACTATGTTCATAGCAGCATTATTCACAATAGCCAGAACCTGGAAACAACCTAGATGCCCGTCAACTGAAGAATGGATTAAGAAAATGTGATACATATACACAGTGGAGTACTACTCAGCAGAGAAAAACATGAAATTTGCAGGAACTAGAAAATACCATCCTGAGTGAGGTAACCCAAACCCAGAAGGACAGACATGGTATGTACTCACTCATAAGTGGATACTAGATATAAAGCAAAGGACAATCAGACTGCAACCCACAGAACCAGAGAGGCTACATAGCAGGGGGGACCCTAGGATGACTGTGGCTTATAATAAGTTTTGTTTTTACTCAATCACTGGGCAAGCTTCAATGAAAAATTTCACTATTAGGATAAGAATTTGTACTGTATCAAGCTTATATTAGAAAAAATCAAATTAAATTAAATTAAATTTTAAAAAATTAAAAAAAATAAATTGCCCAGATGGTTCTTGAACTCATTTTGTAGCCCAGGCTAGCCTCAAACTCTCCATCCTCTTGCCTCAGTCTCCCGAGCTGCTGGGATGACAGGCCTGTGTCACAGGTCCTAGTGTTGCTCTTACTTGCTGAATTTGCCCAGCTTGTCTGTGGGAACCTCTCCTTTTGCAGACACCAAGACACAGGGACTGAGCCTAGGGAAGGCAGGAACCTGCTCACATCCTTATCCCCAGACCGGCATCATGTTGTCCCTCTTCTAAAGCTCAGCAGAGCCAAGAAGAAACTCTTGGCCACCTTCTGTGGCTACAGGCAGTCACTGAGGCTCAGCGCCAGCCATGTGCCACCTGGAGGCAGCGAGGTCAGGACAAGACCTTAGAGGTAGCTGTCCCCACACTGTAACCCCCATGTGCCTATACCTCAGGGACTTGTCTGGATCTGTCAAAGAAAGAAAGCAGGCCTCAGGGGCCCGTTGGCGTCAACCATCCTGAGATCCCGAGGTGCCTGAATTCCAGTGCGTGCAACTACCACAGACACCCCGCCCCCAGCCTGTGTAATGACACACTACCCGAGTCTTCACTTCACGTTCACGGTTATGGCTCTTATTCTCCACAGCTCACTGTTTTTTGTTCTGCTCAAAAGTAAACTTGGGGGAGGGCAGGCACCATCCTCCATCACTGCTGAAGTCTCCTATTGCCCCCATGACATTCCAAACAGCTTTCACTGGAAGGGACGGCACAATGCACGTTCTTACGGACTGAGCATGGAAACCTGTCGGCTCAGTCAGCACTGCTGGGGTGTGTGATTCTGAAAGCTGAAGGAGAGGGACAAAGCTCTGAGGAATGGGGCTGTGGATAGGACTGTCACTCACAAAGAGGTTCCCAGGGCAGGCCTGGCAGCCTCAGTGCCACCTCACCTGCCAAGCAACACTCTGATGTGGCCAGGGTAGCCGGGTTGGTAAAACGGACCTGAGTTTCCCCCAGAACCCACCTAAAGAATGCTGGGTGTGCTGGTGGGGTTGCCATCCCAGCACTGGCAGGCAGAAATGGGAGGACTCCATGGCCGGCCTGTGGCCAGCCGAGCCTAATCAGTGACCTCCAGGCCCTCGACAGACCTTGTCTCAAATACAGTGGGAGCTGGACAGAGAGTTCAGCAGTGAAGAGTGCCTGCTGCTCTTGCAGAGAACCAGGGCTCAGCTCCCAGCACCCACATGGTGGCTCTCAACACACACCCATACACACTCCAAGAAAAAAAAAAAAGGAAAAATCTGAGCAGAACCCTAGGCCTGAACAAGGAGCATCTTGATGGGCATTTGGCAGAACAGGCTGTGGGAGCCGCAGGAAGCTGGGATGGGAACTCCGGGCGGAACTGGGATGGAGTACTCGCCTTTGCATCCTGCACATCAAATACTCTTTAGATTCATTTCTGCACAAAGCATTTTCAAAATTCTTGTCGTGGAGACACTTCATGAATTTTTCTTTAAAGCTTTTACATTCACCTAAAAAGAAAAGGAAGACAGCGTCCTGTTTGTAAAGAGAAGGCCTGACCTGCTCACACAGCGGCCTGCGGGGCAGTGCTACGGTTTCCATCAAAATTTGTTTCCTTCTTGGGGCTGTGGATGTGTCTCTGGGGTAGTGGACATGCTTGGCATACAATCACTTGGGTTCAATCCCCATCACTTCAAAATAAACAACAAAATAAGGGAGCTGAAGAGATGGCTCACTGGTTATGAACACTGGCTGCTCTTGTACGGAAACTGAGTTTGGTTCCCAGCACCCACATTGTACAGCTAGGAAATGCCTGTAACTCCAGCTCCAAGGGATCAAACAACCTCTTCTGGTCACCAAGATGCACACACATACACTCAGATACACACACATGCACTCGGATGTACACACACACTCAGATGCACACACATACATGCAAAAAAATGCACACTCATACACCCAAATGCACACACATGCACTCAGATGCACACATACACATGCAGATACATACACATAAAGTTAAACTCAGACACACACACATACACATAAAGTTAAAATTTTTTAAATTTTTAAATAAATTTTAAAAATGGAAAATTTCCCAATGAAATGTTGAAGAAAATAATAATCTAAGGAGATTAGAGGGCTCGGTGGGCAAAAGTACTTGCTACCTGAGTTTGATTTCCAAGACCCATGTGGCAGAGAGACCCCTCCTACTTCCTACAAATTGTCTTTTGACTCCATGTGAACCATGGAACACCCTCAAACACACTAAATACATAAATATAATTTAAAAAGGCAATCATCTCTAAAGCCGTCCCTGGAGCTGGAGTCTCCACAGAAACTCACACGATGCTCAGTCTACACTAACAAGCCACCATAAACACCACAATGTCAGCAGCATTTCTCCGGGTTGGTTTTGTTTGTGGTAGGTTTTTTTTTTTTTTTTTTGGAGGGGGGAGGGGATGTTTCTTTTCTTTTCTTTCTTTCTTTTTTTTTTTTGTAGTGCTGAAGACTGAACTCAGGGCCTCCTGTTCCTGGGCATGCTAGGCCCCAGTTCACGAGACTGTCCACAACCTTCTCCAAGTTGTTTTTTTCCTTCACAGGTTTCTTTTCCTTCACAGATTTCAGTTTTCCAAAAGGCACTTTAACTGTAGACGTCAGAACTGTGAATGGAAATCCTCTGGGCTGGAGGCATAGTTCAGAGGTGGAGCACTTGCCCAGCACGTGCCAAGTCTGGGTTCCAGCCCCAATATTAGATATCAAAAAGCTTTTTGAAAATATTTCTTTGCCTAATGTTCACTGAAGACCAGAGCCTCAAGCTGAGGAGGGATGGTGGCTCCTGGGCTAGCCACAGGGGAGCTTAACATTGTGTTCTATTCCAGGAGCCCATCACAGTCCTGGTCACATTAGATCCAAGTCTAAAGGAGCTCTCACTTGGAAGGACTGTGCCATGGCAGGTGGCTCTCTGAAATAGGGATCCTCAAGACTCAGTTTCCCTACCTGCACTCACACGGGGCTCTGAGAGGTGCCTGGAGCTCTAATTGCTCTGCACTCCTAGGTCCAGTACCTCAGACTCCACCCACCAGATCCAGCATCCCGGGTCCTGGTACCCAAATCCAACACCCCTGACCCTGCCACCCAGTTCTATCACCCCACATGCTGTCTCTCAGATCCAGTACCTCACACCTGGGCTCTCAGCACCCCATTTCCTGTCATCCACATCTAACTCCTCAGACAGTGCACCTAAATCCAGCACCTCTGACCCTATCACCCAGATCTAGTACCCCAGGCCCTGCCACCCGGATCCAGTACCCCTGAACCTGCCATCTATCACAGAGAAACAGCACTCCAAACTGCCACCCAGACTGAGCACCCCAGACCCTAAACCCAGATCCAGTACCCCTAACCGGGTCACCCAGATCCTACACCCATAACCCTGTCACCAATCCCAGCACCCCTGACCCTGCTATCCAGAACTAGTATCCTAGACCTTGCCACCCACATCCAATACCCCGACTCTGTCACCTGTCACCAAGAAACAGCATTCCAAACCCTATCACTCAGACTCAGCACCCCAGACGCTGCCACCCAGATTCAGTACTCCTAACCCTGCCACCCAATCCCGGGCCGCCGGCAGCTTGAGCCTTGCCTCGCCTCACCGAAGTGGTCCAGCGGGAAGCTTCCTTTGTCTGGGGGCCGCGGCTGGAAGCTTTTGGTCCCGAAGTTCATTGCGGTCGACATGACGGCCAGAGCAACAGCAGTGAGCAGCGGCAACGCAGGGCGGACGGTCGAGCACCGAGCAGGCCCAGGAAGCGCCGAGCTAGTCGAGCAGTGGGCCTGCCCCGCCCCGCCCACTCGGCCCCGCCCATCCATCTAGGCCCCGCCCCCCGCTGTGCTCTGATAGGGCGCAGTGGTGGTCGCAGTCAGGCGCTTTCCAGTCTTCTCCGCAGAAGCCCAGCCATCTTTTGGTTCCGATGAGAAAACAAGTCAGAGAGGTGCAGCCCCTTGCCCGAGGACACCAGTTTGTGCCCCGGGGTCTTCATTCCCATCCAGCTGTCTGCCAGGGACTGAGTTTCCCATATGTTCGGAGGGTCTGATCAAGGCAAGAAGCACAGTAAAGGAGCGGGTGGCTAGCTTCCTGTGGGTAGTGTTGTGGCACAGTGCCACATACAAGTGGTTGTTGTTTTTTTTTCTAATTATTTTTATTTTATATGCATTGGTGTTTTGCCATGGGTGTTGAGTCCCCTGTTTACTGGGTCCCCTGAAACTGGAGTCACAGACAGCTGTGAGCTGCCATGTGGCTGCTGGGAGTAGAAACCCGGTCCTCTGGAAGAGCAGCCAGTGCTCTTACTCTTAATAACCGCCGAGCCCTCTCTCCGGCACCACAAACAAGGGTTTTACAGTCAGAAATTAAAGCGGGGTGTAGTGCCTCACACCTAGCTGAGGCAGGAGAATTGCCTGAGTTTTATAGGCAATCCTAGGCTACGTAGCAAGACCCAGTTTCACAAAACAAAACCGCCGAAAGAACATCTTCTGTGGTTCAAGAGACTAGAAGTCTGAGCCTAAGGTGTGGACCATTAGCACCATTGTGGGCTGCTGTCCCTGCTGCCTGCTCTGGGAGCCCAGGTTCTCCCCCAGCCTCTGGAGTGTTCTGTCAATCTTAGGTAATTCTGGATTGCTAGAAACAATGTTCCTTCTGGGCCTCCACTTCTGGTGGCATTCTCCCCGTGTGTCTGTGTCCAAGAATTCCTTATATGAGGACACTGCCACATTGGGGTAGTGCCATCCCAACAAATTTTTTTTTCTTTCTGTTTTTGTTTGTTTGTTTGTTTTGAGACAGGGTTTCTCTGCATAGCCCTGGCTGTCCTGGAATTCACTCTGTAGAACGGGCTGGCCTCAAACTCAGAGACTGACCTGCCTCAGCCTCCCAAGTGCTGGAATTAAAGGTGTGAACCACCATGCTCGGCTCATCCGAACAATTTCAACCTCAGCTGCTCACATCTGCCATGATGTTATTTCAGAAGAAGCCATCAGGTCCTGGGAGTGGGGAGCGGGTTGGGACTGTGCTACATGGCTTTGTAAGGAATGTTCTATGGTAATGGAATGCAGTCTACTGACGTGTTATGGCAGCAATGTCTGTCCCCAGAACCCCTGCTTTTCAGCTGGGGGACGGGGAAGACCACTTGCTCCTTGCCTCCCAACACTGGCTGTGATTGTGGGATGCTGTCCATCATTCCATCACAGCCACAAATGGTTTCTATGTCACACAACCATCCAGACCCTGGCAGTGAGCAGGAGGAGCATCCGTGGGCTCATAGCGGCTCCTGGAGGGGGGGCATCTCTCCCTCTACAGTCCTCTGACAGATCCCAACCTCACTAATACTTCCAGTGTTGGGTAGAAGAAACAGTTCCCTGGGACTGCAGAGAGGTGCTTGGCCAGCAGACCCCACCCCAGAGCCCACCCTTTTCCACCTTTCTGGACCCCCTCTCCAAAGCCGTCCATTGGTCTCCTTGCTGGATTCCATGCTGGCTTCCTGTGTGGGAGGCTGGATTTAGCTTCTGCTGTCCAGACCTATAGACTGCCTTGCAGAGGGGTACCACCTCCCTACCCAAACCTCCAGAAAGCCCATTCCAATTCTAGTTCAGCTTATCTCTCAAGAAGGGGCCTGGGGAGATGGCTCAGCAGGCAAGAGCACTTGCTGTACAAGCATGATGGACCTGAGTTCAAATCCCCAGAGCCTACAAAAAAATTAAAAAATAAGAAATGCCAGACCAGGTGGCACGGGCCTAAAAGCCCAGGACTGTAAGGAGTTGGGGCTTGCTGGCTGCCCCAACTTAGCTCCAGGGTCAGCAAACACCCTGTCACAAGGGGATAAGGTGGACAGTGATAAAGCAGGACACCTGACATCCTCTTCTGGTTTCCACGTGTGCATGGGGTACACACATATACATGTATGTGCATGTATAACACACACACACACACACACACACACACACACACACACACACACACCTCCAGAAGGAAAACTGTACTTTGTCCTTGTCATAGAAATACCTCTTTCCCACCTTTTCCATGCCTGGAGCCAGGGGCCACACACTGAGTTACTCATTAATTTTTTTTTTTTTGAGCTATGAACAATGGTGGCTTTTATGACTCAGCAAGCAGCCCTTTCTGCTTGAAATGAAAGGACATCTCTGTCCCTGAGGTGGCAGGACCTCTGTCAGGCAACTCTGAAGAACCAAAAAAGCAGCAGAGGCTGGCGTCGGGGCCGTGACAGCAAGCTTTTCACCCGCCATTCCTAGGAAACGGTTACTGCCTTGTGGGAGCTTTGTTGTTGTTGTTTGTTTTGGGGTTTTTTTTTTTGTTTGTTTTTTTTTTAGTTTTT